CGGTCTCGATGTACGTGGACGTTTTAGTGGATACACGGCCTACAGAAACTGTAGTATGCACTTCGTAGGTGGTTGTTTCCTGGGTGGGCACTACTGGCTGGATTCCTTGATCAGAGAAATCGTTGCCGGTGGGTGCGGCAGGTAATATTTCGCGGAAACGTTCCAGTGGAATGAGATCTGTAGTGCTGAAATCACTGTCGGTAGCGCCGAGGGGGGGGGTTCGTCGCTGTCAGGCTCTGGTTGCGAGTCCTCGAGTGTGTGGATGTACGTGCTGCATCTGGATGCGCGAGCGTAGGGTACGGGGTAGGTATGTTCTTCTATAGCCAGGTCTGTACCATTTCGAGCGAAATATTACCTGCCGCACCCACCGGCAACGATTTCTCTGATCAAGGAATCCAGCCAGTGGTGCCCACCCAGGAAACAACCACCTACGAAGTGCATACTACAGGTTCTGTAGGCCGTGTATCCACTAAAACGTCCACGTACATCGAGACCGGTCACACTGCTCACACACTGCTCGACGACCCAGAGCACGCAAACGTCATGCTCAGGGAGCGCACCACTACGGCGCCTCGGTGCACGCCCGAATCGTCGTACCACGTGCCGGTAGTAGCTATCACCGCAAGGCATACCGTCGCATCCTCCGAATGACGCCCCCGCCCGCGGCGCCAACACCCGCCAACTCGTGCCTCCAACCACTACGCCCGCGCCACCTTCGCATGCAGATATATGCGCGATCGCAGGCTGTCCCCACGCCGAAGAAGCTCGCATGACGCACGCCATTTAGCCTGTTTCCGCGCCTCTCCGACGCTCGCCCATTAACAGTGCATGGCACGCACTATGGCACACACTCTATGGCTCACGGGGCTACACGTGGCAATGGGGCACAGCTAAAGCCCAGCCATAATGCCCACTATATGCCGCATCCAACTTGTGTCCTAATATTGTCAGTACGAGCATACCATAGTCATAGAACGCGTCGCACATTCGTAGTCCCGGAGACTTTAGTACGGCTTGGTTTCTCCGTGTTCCGCGTGCGCGATATATAGCTCGCACATAATGACGCACGCGTACGGTCTTATCGCGCTTGTAACCTACATGACTACCTCGTAGCAAGCATATTTACCTAGAACGATGGCGTCCGCCAACGCAGCACCGCGTGTAACTGCGGATCCCCAGCCTTTTCCCTTACGAGCCACTATGTGTTACCCGTGAAGCGCCACCCTCAAAAATGTTAAGGGGCCGTTTGGAGATGGCCTCTAGCCGTCGATCGCGAAATGTCGGTTGGATTCCGCCCCGTTTTCACGGAGTTCGTTTTCAGATCCCTGTCTAACATATATGTCTAAGTGGACAATAAGGGGCGGCGTATTCGCTGTTGGGGCGCGGCCTTGCCGCGCGCAACTACCGGGGCCCCATGTCCGTCCAGAGAGACCGGGTACAAGATGGCGTTGCGCAAAAGATGCATTGTTCCCCGACCGCCGAGAGCGGTTAAGCCGCGCACTTCCGCGGGACTGGGCGCACGCGACCGCGGGGTGTTGTATGTAGCATCTCGCGCTGCCCGCTATACGAATTCGTGCGCCGAAGGAGTGCTGGCGCGCGAATCCGTATAGCGGGCAGCGTAACATCGCACAGTTTTCGTCAGACATACACCGGCTTGACTACGGCGGCCTTGGGGGAAGGGCATTTTCTGCTGCTGCTGCTTTGCTGCTCCAGGGCCGCGCTGCAGCAGGGACCAGTATTTGGTCCAGATGCAGCACGTACATCCACACACTCGAGGGACTCGCAACCAGAGCCTGACAGCGACGAACCCCCCCCTCGGCGTCCGACAGTGATTTCAGCACTACAGATCTCATTCCACTGGAAACGTTTCGCCCGTGGAAGAGGATGAGGAGGAACAACAGGAAGTGCACCAAAAAGGAAAAAAGAAGAGTATGAGAAGAAATGTGAAGACGATGAGAAGGTGAAATTGGAATAGGAGGGGGAGGAAAAGGAGCAGGGGGACAGGGAGGAGGTGGAGGAGGAGGAGGTGAAGGATTAGGAGTAGGGAAAGAACAAAAAGGATGAGAAGCAAAGGATGAGGATGAGGAGGAGGAGGAGGAGGAGAAAGGAAGCCAATCTACGTTCTTAGCGAGCTTGTTTTCGGCCTTCGTCAGCTTGTCCCAGGTCGGCCAGCGTCTGACTGAACGCGAACGCCGTACCCGCGGACTCGAGCTCCTTCTGCTGTCTGAGGCTCTCCAGCTCACCGCGCAGCCGCGAGTTCTTATCAGCAAGCTCCCTGCTTGCCTGCGGGGTGACAACGAGGACGACGATACGTCGTGAGGCACGGCGAAATCACCGGCTTTTCCTATCTGACTGTCTCCCTCAAAAAAAGATTAACAAAAAAAACGAAAAAAAAAACGTAGAAAAAAAAACTACAAAAAAATACACCACAAAAAAGACAATGCGACGAGAAGAACGAGAACAAGTGTAGGATAGCGCAGGCTCCCGCAGATATTAATTATACCGCCTTACACATAAGCAATCACCATAAACAACACACCACATCGCTCCAAGTGATACATAATAATAGAACGCCGCAGGTAATTACTATACACAACGCCCCTTAGCATCCTAGTACACTAATGACTCGAGGGCCGATCTGTGATGGTTAGTCCAAAGGTAGGGACTCGGGCCTTTTCCTTTCAGCCGCATTGTCGAACTTTTTCGAGCTCGTGATTTTCCGTTGTTTTGCCATACCTGTTCCTTTCATAAGCCTGAGTTCCACCCCCTTCCCTTAGTCGAGTTACGTCGCGATCTACATTGTAAGGTACGATGGTTATTTGTATTCGGTTATGCGACACGCGGCGCGAGTGTTACGACTTGGAGACATCTGTTTAGTATTGTAGGGTTGTGTTTGATTAGGCTGAAATAGACGCACGAAGAGTAGTTTACATAATAGCAGTGTACGTGTTCTCTCTTGACGTGACCTGTTTCCTTAGACTGGAGCCGTGACCAGCGGTTTTAGTGGGGTAGCAATAGTTGCTTAGATAGCCACGTCTCTAGTACCGTTTCTAATATACGTTTTCTCTCTAAGCACGTGTTTTACCGCAAACAGCGTGTCACCTGTCAGCCGCCACCGAGTCACACCGAGTCAACCACCGGGACCATCGTAGCGTCTTGTCTCCGGCATGATCACGTAAGTGCGACGATTCCTTGCTAAACTAAGGTATGCTCAGACTATTCTCTTTAATAGCTTTTTAATAGAAAAAAAATCTGCGTTTACACGCCTTTTAAGCGTTTTCGTTTTCTAAATTCGTCCGCAGTGATTGTCACATTCGGTATGCAGATATTTCGCCATACGGGCAAAATGTATGGAAATGCATACGGACAGTGATATGCCGCGGCAAATAGCGCATTATAGAGCCAGAACATTCGAAATGGTACGACCTGGCTATAGAAGAACATACCCTACCCCGTACCCTACGCTCGCGCATCCAGATGCAAGCACGTAACATCCACACACTCCGAGGGACTCGCAACCAGAGCTCTGACAGCGACGAAACCCCCCCCTCGCGTCCGACATGAATTTCAGCACTACAGAATCTCCATTCCACTGAAACGTTTCCGCGAAATATTACCTGCCCCACCACCGCACCCGATTTCTCTGATCAAAGGAATCAGCCAGTGGTGCCCACCCCAGGAAACAACCACCTACGAAGTGCATACTACAGGTATCTGTAGGCCGTGTATCCACTAAACACGTCCACGTACATCGAGACCGGTCACACTGCTCACACACTGCTCGACGACCCAGAGCACGCAACACGTCATGCTCAGGGAGCGCACCACTACGGCGCCTCGGTGCACGCCGCGAATCGTCGTACCACGTGGCCGGTAGTAGCTATCACCGCAAGGCATACCGTCGCATCCTCCGAATGACGCCCCCGCCGCGGCGCCAACACCCGCCAACTCGTGCCTCCCAACCACTACGCCCGCGCACCTTCGCATGCAGATATATTGCGCGATCGCAGGCTGTCCCACGCCGAAGAGCTCGCATGACGCACGCCATTTAGCGCTGTTCCCGCCGCCTCTCCGACGCTCGCCCATTAACAGTGCATGGCACGCACTATGGCACAACACTCTATGCTCACGGGCTACACGTGGCAATGGGCACAGCTAAAAGCCCAGCCCTAATGCCCCATATATGCCGCATCCAACCTTGTGTCCTAATATGTCCAGTACGAGCATACGCATAGTCATAGAACGCGTCGCACAATTCGTAGTCCCCGGAGACTTTAGTACGGCTTGGTTTTCCGTGTTCCGCGTGCGCGATATATAGCTCGCACATAATGACGCAGCGCGGTACGGTCTTATCGCGCTTGTAACCTACATGACTACCTCTGTAGCAAGCATTATTTACCTAGAACGATGGCGTCCGCCAACGCAGCACCGCGTGTAACTGCGGAGTCCCACCTTTTCCCCTTACGAGCCACTATGTGTTACCCGTGAAGCGCCACCCTCCAAAAATGTTAAGGGGCGTTTGGAGATGCCTCTAGCGCGTCGATCGCGAATGTCGGTTTGGTATTCCGCCCCGTTCACACGCGTTCGTTTTCAGATCCCTGTCTAACATATATGTTAAGTGGACAATAAGGGGCGGCGTATTCGCTGTTGGGGCGCGCCTTGCCGCGCGCAACTACCGGGCCCCATGTCCGTCCCAGAGAGACCGCGGGTACAAGATGGCGTTGCGCAAAAGATGCATTGTTCCCCGACCGCCGAGAGCGTTAAGCCGCGCACTTCCGCGGGACTGGGCGCACGCGACCGACGGGTGTTGTATGTAGCATCTCGCGCTGCCCGCTATAACGAATTCGTGCGCCAAAGGAGTGCTGGCGCGCGAATCCGTATAGGCGGCAGCGTAACATCGCACAGTTTTCGTCAGACATACACCGGCTTGACTACGGCGGCCTTGGGGGAAGGGCATTTTCTGGCTGCTGCGTGCTTTGCTGCTCCAGGGCCGCGCTGCAGGCAGGGACCAGTAATTTGGTGCTGCTGTTGTTTTGCGGCTGCCAGGAGCGCGCTGCAGCAGGGGCCAGTATTGCTTGCTGCTGCTGCTCGCTTTGCTGCTGCATGAGCCAGTATTTTTGCTGCCTGCTGCCTTTGCTGCTGCATGGGCGCTGCAGCCAGGGGTAAGTAATGTAGGTGTACGTAGGATTTAGCTACGAGTAAACTGCAGCAACGGCAGCACGTGGCTCGCACTGACAGTCGTCGCCACGGGCAGCGCGGGGTCAGGAGGTTGGTAAAAACTTGCCGCGTACGCAGCCAGGTGCCGCGGCGGCAGCTGTTTTCAAGATAGCATCTAGACCGCACTCGCCCACGTGGAGCGCCGTACCAGACTTCGTTAAAACCTCTGTGATAGACTTGACGCTATACTCGGCAGTAGCCCGCATCATCGCGTAGCGGCCAATGAGCGAGCGCGTGGTTGCTGATTGACAGCATTTCTTGGGGTTTCTTGTAGGAGCCACTACATGTTACCTGTGAGGCGCGCCACCCCAAAAAAATGTTTAGGGGGCGTTTGGAGATGGCCTCTAGCCGTCGATCGCGAAATGTCGGTTGGATTCCGCCCCGTTTTTGCGGAGTTCGTTTTCAGACTCCTGTCTAACATATCTGTCTAAGTGGACAATAAGGGGGTGGCGTATTCGCTGTGGGGGCGTGGCTTTGCCGCGCGCAACTACCGGGGCCCCATGTCCGTCCAGAGACCGGGTACAAGATGGAATTGCGCAAAAGATGCATTGTTCCCCGACCGCCAAGAGCGGTTAAGCCGCGCACTTCCGCAGGACTGGGCGCACGCGACCACGGGGTGTTGTATGTAGCATCTCGCGCTGCCCGCTATACGAATTCGCGCACCAAAGGAGGGCGGGCGCGCGAATCGTATAGCGGGCAGCGTAACATCGCGCAGTTTTTGTCACACCTACACCGAATCGGCTAAGGCGGCCTTGGGTGGGGGCATTTGCTGCTGCTGCTGCTTTGCTGCTCCAAGGGCGCGCTGCAGCAGGGACCAGTATTTGGTGCTGCTGCTGGTTTGCTGCTGCAAGAGCAGGGTGCACCAGGGGCAAGTATTTCTTGCTGCTGCTTCTGCTGCATTGCTGCTGCATGGGCAAGTATTTCTTGCTGCTGCTGCTTTGCTGCTACATGGGCGCGGCTCGGCTACGTCGGCCTGGGGGGCTTTCTGATTATAGATTAACCCGCGTCTCTACATCCTCGCCGTCGTCCCGTCACCTGCCGTATTTGCGTACCTTATCTGGCGCATATTGTCACCTGTCGAGACTAACAATTGTCACCTAGTCACTTCATGCCCTTTACATGGTCTCCTCGCCCTGCGTGTATTCGTTTGCTGTAGTATGTGCTAGACGGACTTGCGGCCCCGGTTTTTGCATGTGCGTAGTGTGTCGTGTGTATGGTGTGTGTGTATGTCGTGCGAGTGTGCTGTGTATGTGGTGTGTGTGTGTGTGTGTGTGTGAGCGTGTGGCGTGTGCGTGTGCGTAGTGCATGTGCGTTGTGCGTGTGCGTGTGCGTGTGCGTGGTGGTATGCGTAGTCGTGTGCGTAGTCGTGTGCGGGCATGTGTGCGCGCGCACGTGTGTGTTGTAGTTGTGTCGTGTGGTGTGTGTGTGTGTGTGTGTGTGTGTGTGGTGTGTGTGTATGTGTGTGTGCGTGGTGTGTGCGTGTGCATGGTTTATGTGTGCGTTGTGCGTACGATACGTGCGTCGTATGTGTGTGCAGTTGTGGATTGTAAGTAAGAGGGGTGTCCAGTTGTGTCCAGGCTTGATGCTGATACTCAACGATAACGGCTATGGTTCACACACACACACACACACGACACACAACACACACAACAACACACACTCACACACACACACACACACACACACACACACACCTCGTAGCTGAATCCAACGATCCCTCGCTATCTGTCGTTCACAGACACCTCTAGCTGTGATCCAGACGATGACATTGGCCTACTGTTCGTAAACAACACTCTCGTACTGATTCCAACTGAATAGACCTGTCCGTTCACCACACACACACATAACCCGCGCTCCACACACCACACAACACACACACCTACACACACACACACACACACAACACCAACCACACACACCCACCCACACACCCGCACACCCCCACAAAAAAAACCACACACACACACACACACACCACACACACATCCACACACACACACCACACACACGACATCACACACAACACATCACTCACACACACACACGACCACACACACATCACGGCACACAACCATTACACACACACCACCGAAAAGCCGCTTCTCTCGACGCGGCTGCGGCCGCACAGTCGTCGCGCGTTTCCACGCGTACCGGAATTACGTATCCGCAGCTTGCGCATGAACCTCGCGGCGATGTGCGCGTCGCTCTCGAGAATGCGTATGTTAGTTTCCCGACTCGCTCGTCACGCGTGCGGCCGTCTTCGGCAGAGTCCCCCGCGCGGCTACGTCAGCAGTTGTGGCTTACCGACGGAGTGGGGCGACGCCGCCGCCGCGTGCCGCCGTGAGTCGCCACTATCCCGCACGTGTCCGGCGCCCACTTCCGGTGGCCGACGTGGCGTATAGGCGGCGCGCGGCCGCGCAGCGGTCGGTTGCGACCGTCCTCAGCTAGCGAACCGGACAACTCTTTGAGCCCGACACCTCTAGGTGGCGCCACCACGGCGGAGGATGCGCTGCGGCCGAACGTCGTAGGCGAGAGCACCTGCGCACAAGTCGCCGAGTTTGCTCGCCAGGGTTGCTCGCGTAAAACTTTGAGGGGAAGCTGTCTCAGCCAAGAGTTGAGGCGGCGCCGGCGCGTGTGCGCGCAACGCGAGGTGAGGGTCAGGATGTGCAGGGAGGGGCAGCGTGGGGCGCGCACGCGAAGCGACCGTGCGCAGCGACGCCCATAACACTTGCGACGCGCGCGGCCTTGAGCGGCACGTCGGCGCAATCTCTCGCCTCGTCGAGCGTGCCGACGCGGTCAGGTGGCTGATGCCGTCTTGTCGTTGTTGTGCAGCCAATGGCGGCGTGCAGGCGCGCGCGTGTTGTCGAAGCCGCCGCTCGAACTTTCGCGTAGATCGGACGCGCGGTAGTCGAACGGCGACGGCCGATGATGCTGCGTACCGGCCACGTCCAGAAAGGCCCTTCGAGCGCGTCTTCGCGGCCGGCCGGTGGCGAATCTCGTCGCCGAGCTGTGCAGCGACTTGGACCCTGCCCCACTGCTGTAGTGGGCAGGGCTCCCTCGTCGAGTGTAGAACGACCGCCGGTAACCGTTGAACAGCTCACCGATGAAAGTCGACGGCCGGAGGCGCGCGGTAGCGACGATGGCGACGTAAGGGTGGCGTTGTAGTGGCTAACTGCGCGGCGGCAGCGACGTTCGCGTTCGGCGTGTATCTCCTAGAGGCGCGGCGGCGGCGCCGACGATGGGTGGCGGCGCGTAGTCTGGGGAAGTGGGCGAGGGAGAGAGAAGAGACTGGAATATAGAACACAGAGAGACGCTGGCGCGTACTGGTTGGTGGCGGCGATCGAGGAGCGTGTGTGATTTGCTAATGACGCGCAGTAGTTACGTAGAGTATTCAACAGGTGTATTAACGTATTTACAGGTGGTTACGTATTTAGCAGGTGTGTTTACGTATTCACAGGTGTAATTACGTATTCACAGGTGTATTACGTATTCACAGGTGTGTTACGTATTCACAGGTGTATTACGTATTCACCAGGTTCGTTAGCGTATTGAACAAGGTGTATTTACGTATCACAGGTGGTGTTACGTTATTCACAGGTGTACTTGACGTATTCACGAGATGTGTTACGTATTCACAGGTGGTGAAAGATTACCGTATTCAGCAAGGTGTGTTACGTAATTCAACAGGTGTATTAATGTATTCACAGTGTTTATGGGGCGGGTATTCGCACAGGTGTATTACGTATTCACAGGTGTGTGTACGTATTCAGCAGGTGTATTAGCCGATCTCACAGACGTGTTTTCGTATTCACACGGTGTATTACGTATTCAGCAGTGTGTTACGTATTCAGCAGGTGTATTTAGCGTAATGCACACCCAATCGATATAGCATTACAGCTAATTAACTTAATTACAGGTGATGGGATGGTTGGCAGGTAAATAATACTGTGGGTAAACAAGGTGCTCTTTTTGCGCAAAAAATGGCGTATTACGTTTAGAGAGCTCGTCGTTGAGTTTTTTTATTTCTTTATGTTTGGGCTGCGGCGCGCGGTATTGTTAAGTCACTCTGGCTGTAGACCGAAATGGCGAGGAGGTTACCTGTGCGAGTGTTTAACATGCAGGTTCGTGCAAACAGCAGCGAGTCTACATTCGCACGTTATTCACACCCCCTGAGAAGTCACTACGCTTTAATCTCTTCTAACTTAAGATGCTGTTATCTAAACTTTGCTGTTTGCACGAGTGGGTTTATGTTTGCGTGGCACGCGAGCTCATTCTTTTTCTGTGTCGGTCTGTCAAGGCGATTCACGTGAATATCCGGTGGTGCGCAGAGAGGGCAGACGTGATAACTGTTTATGGCTGTATATATTTCGCGGTGGTTTAATTTTCGCGAATTTGCGAACGCGTCCGACGCGCGAAAATAACAACACGCCGACCATTCATACCGAATAATAACAGAATCATATATAATTCACGGACCGCGAACTTAGCCACTCGCGAAATTGGTCCGTCAAGATCTGAATTCGCCGAAAATACTGTAGCCAAAATACGGTTTATACAGTAGACCTATATATAATACACTATACTATATATAATATACTATATGACCAGGACGCGTATAATGACAAATATGCTTGACATAATGATTATGTCATAATGGATTAATGTCATATGCTTGAGCATAATGACTATATATATTTGTCATTATATCGCTCCTGATATGACGAATCAGCGCAGCACAACTGTAGTCCTTCAAGAACGTCGTGTGCATCAACAGCCTGTAACATCGTGCATCAACAGCTGCTACTTCGACGCCTAAAGAAGCTGATGGCACTCTGTCATCCCTAACTGCTGGTCAACCATTGATTGGCGCGTGAGATGTCTCTCATAGTGCGCTGCAGGTGCTGCTATACTGTGAGTTGGGCGTTTTGCTCCTCACCTTATGGGCATAATTGTTCACCATATGCACGTTATTAGAAAGTCTGACAGACATAAGTCTCAGATAAAAAGCAGGGTGTTAGGTGCAACGTATCGAACGTATAAGGGTGCACGCCCGAGTAACGGGGATGGACGCGTAAGGACTATGATATCAATACTCAAACGAGGATGAATAGAAAGTTAGGTAACAGCCGGGCAATGACAGATCGGACCAGGAAGCGAGGGAGCGACAGAAGACAAGATGAACGAGGATGACAAGTGAGTGATGAAACATGAATTGAGAGAGGGGGCGAACGAGGAAACGACAGAAAGAAAGACAATGGGAATAAGAGCGAGTAATACGAACATGGAAATCACGAGACCAGATAAGGAGAATGAAGGGAACGCCCCTGAGATAAGGTAACAAAGTAAGGTAAACAATTAAAGGTAAACAAGTAAGGTAAACAATTAAGGTAAAACAAGGTAAGGTAAACAAATGAAGGGTAAACAAGGTCAGACCTGCGCACCGAATAAGGAAACAAGGAAAGTGACAAGGTAAAAACGCGAACCAGAAACAACACTGCAATAGGGCACTGGAGAGAACGACAGGGGCGTCAGGTAAATGAAGGACGATAGATGATAAGGAATGAGGGAACTGCCCCCTGAAAAGTAGGGTGACGAAGAACGAGCAAACCAGATGAGGTATCAATTATGACACTGCACAGGTCAAAATGGGCGTTATACAACATGTATGGCGGGACCCGGTATTGGGGTGGGTTTGTGGGGAGTACCGATTTAAAAAAATGAGTTAGGTACAATTATGAAATTCCAAATAGTTGTTAGATTTGTTCTGTTATTACACCTAATGCAGAGGTAAGGTGGGCCATTTCCCACATGCTTGCAGAATTTTGTTCTCTTTCCTATTTGTGATGAAGAGTATTTTTAATGTCATAAGTAATTTTCCAGCAATCCTAAGATCATGGCACAAGACAGCACCTAAAGCAAGTATAACTCTTATGGCCGAATATCTGATTTTTTTTCAAGTTTAAACCTTAACCTTTATTTTCTCAAAATCTGATTTGGTTTGGATAGTCCACTTTACCGCTCTCACGGCTCATCATGGGGAAACGAAGAGAGTAACATAAAGGGTAACTATGTATAAGATAGCATCTCCAGGGCCGAGGCAGTGTAGGTCGGAATGCAAGGAGCGACGCGAGACGACGTTGAAGCGAATAGGAACGTAACAATGACTGACACTCCCTCGACGCCAAGAGGAACAGAGGAATGACTTAAGACGCGGATCGGGAATGAAGGACGAACGCAAAACCGTTGGGTGAACGACGACGCGAGTATTCACCCCAGTGACGAGTGGAACTTGAGGAGTGATTATACCGGGTCCGGGGTGAAGGAGCGACCGAACCGTTTGGTGAACGACGGACGCGCACAGTTCACCCCAGTGCGGTAAACGTGGGAGTGACAGAACTGGATCGGGAATGAGGGAGCGACACGCAACCTACGAGGCGGAACTGAAACCACGAGGCGGACACCTTAACCGCGGTGGTATGATAGAGGTGCTCGTGAAAGCGAAGGTATTGGCGAGCGAGCAAGACATGCGCCCGCCGTGCGATGCGTAACCGTCCGCTGCAGGCGGCATCATCACAGGCACGTTGGCGCGTTTTCAATAAATATAGATCCTACAATGAATACGAATCTATTTAACCAAATCCCATATTCAGAATATTGCAACCCAGGCGCTCATCATTGGTTGTCCTAGAGGGCTCACGGCGAATACCCGCCCCTTATGTGTCCTCTTAGACCAGCATTGAACCTGGAATCGGCGTCTAAAACGAACTCCGCGCGAAAACTGGGCGCATCAACCAACATTTCGCGATCGACGGCTAGAGGCATCTCCAAACGGCCCCGGGTAAACATTTCTTGTGGGGTAGCGCGCCTCAGGGGTAAAGCGTCAGTGGCTCCTACACGAAACGCCAAGAAAATGCTGTTCAATCACGCCACCACCGCATGCTCGCTCATTGCCGCAGGCAGATCACGTCGTCCCCGTTGGCCGAACAAAGCGGTGATGTCAATCACACATGTTTTTTACGAACACCGCGCGCGCGTCCACCGGCTACGCCTGACTCGCAGCCTCGGCGAGGTTTTTCAGGCAGTGGATGCGAGTTTGTTTTTCACATTTCTATTTTGTTTTTTTTTGTTAGGCGACGGTGGGAGTGGGAGGAGAGAGCGAGCGAGGAGATAGGAGTTTTTTGCGCGGCAGCGCGCTGCTTACCACGAGGGCGGACTGCTTTGACACGCCAGCGTCGAGAGCGAGCAAGAGAGAGAGAGAGAGAGAGAGAGAGAGAGAGGAGAGAGAGAGACCGCGTGGGAGTGGGAGAGAAGCGCAGAGAGGAGAAGAGAGCGAGAGAGAGAGAGAGAGAGAGAGAGAGGTTAGAAGACTAATCAGTCGCACAGTGTCGTTTTGGCATGTTTTAACGAATAGCGCGCGTACGGCGAGTTGGAGATTTGCCAACACCCGCCTCCCCCCGCGCGCACTGCAAACGGGGGGGTGAGGGGGGGGACGCGGCGACGGTCAAAATGCTATCTCCAACTCCGGTCCGGTGTTACGTCTTATTTGGAAACCACGCGTCGCACGTTTTGCACACGCAGCGAGCGGAGAAAAGAGAGAGACGACCGTGAGAGTGGGAAAGCAGAGACAGAGAGGAGAGAGAAAGACGAGGGAGAGAGAGAGAGAGAGAGGGTAGAGAGAGAGTTAGAAAGACAATGTCTAGACATGAGTCGTCACAGCCCGTTGGCCTAGAATACGAGAGTCGAAGTGTGAGCGTCACGCTTGCAAGACAACGTACGGCGGGTTTACACACCACTGGCATCCATAACAATTAACTGCGGTTGAAAAATGTTGTACGTACGTAAAACACTAACGCTCACACTAAATATACTATGTGTCGGCCCGCGCTATATCATAGGCTTGGGATCCACGCAAAAATTAATCTATGTGTGAGGACAGAATATCAATGGAGTGCAAAACCCGAACGCCAACCCTAACCCTAATGCACTAGACCCTCAACCCTAACCCTAACCTAACCTAATTCCTAACCCTAACCTAACCCTAAACCCTAACCTTACG